TACTTTCTTTCCAAATTTTAGACTACTGAAATCTGATAGCTGATTTCTATTTTCACGCATTCGGTCCTTCGCGTATGAGGGATTCCACCACTCAATACAGTTGCTGGCTCATATTACCCACGAAATGATTCAGCCGAGGCTGGCGCCGTGTGTATTTCGTGGCGGCGCAGTGTTACTTTGAACTCCGACGGCGGCGGCTGAGCCGGCTGGCGCGCACCTCTAAGTATTATCATCATCAAACTCTGGAAACAGCAGATAGCGTCATCATTTTCTTAGCCTTTCTGGAACTTGTTTACTATTCCCCAGACTTATGGTACCTTGTAACGAAACAACCCCCCTCCCCTCCGCTCCTTTTTAGCTAAAAAGATCCGCTTTTAGTTTTATTCGACTGTTTTCAAGAGAAAAAGCATTTCTAAAAATTTTACACTGAAATCAAACCAACCATAAGATTGCGCGCGCGATCATCAAGAGTCGTAGTGCAAAGTAAGCGACTAGTTTCAGCAGAGGCAAAGGTAGCAAAAATAACACAACGAACACAGATATGTAAAAGAGCATCCATAGTGAGTATTCTTCGAGAAGTGACATGTAATCACGCATTTGTAAAGGTCAGGCTTGGTTACTTGATTTCTACTTCTAAAGTATACGTTCTTTTTTTGTGACCAACAGAACTGTGAATTAATTATAAATAGGGGCTCACCGTTGATTAGTTGTATCGTTTTTAGAGAAAGCTTGCCGACTGTTTTGCTTAGTGTCGGCGTGCACTAGTCAGAATTTATTGGTCAAAACCAGTGAAATATTACTCTAATAGCAATTAATGTACGGTTAAATTGCAAGATTAATATTTAAAAATAAAAAAATTCCGTGACAGCTTAATAGCAGGCTAATACAGCTAAGGGGCGCGGTTTCATATTTCATCATGCTACTAGTGTAAAACTCAAGATCTATGCAATCAAATTATTTTTCAATTTCAAACAGTTCCATTGGCCTGCCGAGGGGGGGGGGGGGGACTCAGTTGTTGCAGCCTAGTTTTCCAAAAGTGCACAGAAAACCCATCTTTTGTACTATTTTACGAGATTCATTTTCGGTTGATCAACCCTGATACTTTTCAAAAGACGCCTTGGAGAAGTATGCAGATTTCATAAAGCGTTTTGCTTTGATCTTGTTGCTGTTGTTCAATCCAGAGACAAATGGTTCAAAAAACAGTGCAGCTTCAAACTCTAGCTCATTGCTTTGATCTTGTTGCTCATTGTTTTATTCTCTTCGATCTACTACTACTACTACTACTAAAAGAATTTATTCCCTTTAAAATATAAAGGCATCAAACAAAACAAACGGTATGATTATGTACACAAGACATCACGAACGGCAATTTATGCAATGGCAACAAAGTAGCATTGAACAAGAGTTGTTTAAGTTGAACATATCAATTCTATTTTTCAGATAGATTTTCAATTTTGCTTTGAAAGTTTCAGGCGATGAGAAAATGTCGGCTATGTTGTTTGCTGAAATCATGTTGGCATACCGACAGATGCGATAGAAGAAAAATTGCTCTGTAAAGAAGAGTCGACAATTCTGGGTTGTTGAAAGCTTAGGGCGTGAGCTATTGCGAAGGTCTTTGGCTGCAAAGGTAAAATTTATGTACTGTAAAGGTCGAAATCAAATTGATCAGTCAGGACTCGATTAAGAAAACACATATCATGTAAAGCTATAGTGAAGGAAATTGGCAAGGAATTCGTTTTTCTAAGTTGTTCTGTATAGTCGTTCACTCCCGTTACCCATTTCAAAAATTTTCTGTTAAATAATTCTAGTTTGCGGCGATATGTTGAAGATGGAAACCAGACCTGACTACCGTATAACAAAATACTCATAATACATAGCTGGTAACATTTGAATTTGGTTCTCATGGATACTCCATAAGGGATTGAACGTTTTAAGAAATGGAAAGCTTTGTTAACTGCGACCAGTTTGGTTTTAATGTGGATATCCCACTTTAAATCACTAGATATCGTTACTCCGAGACCTTTGATTGATGAAACTGACGGAATTAGGTAATCATTAAGGCAAAGAGTAGATTTGGGGGAAGTTGAGTTAAAACAAATAACTTTGCATTTATCAGAATTAAATGTCATTTCGTTTTCAAGCGTCCAATTGATAAATAGATCAATGTCTATTTGAACTAAGGAAAAGTCATTTTTTGAATAGAGTTTGCTGTCATCAGCAAACAGAAAGCAATTAGAGGTTTTCAAGACAGCTGGCATGTCAATAATGAAGAGTATAAATAGCAAAGGGCCGAGTACACTTCCGTGCGGAACACCACTTGTTACATGGCCTTTTGGAGATGCTTCATTGTTAATTAAGACAATTTGCGTGCGGTTTGTGAGATAGGAAGCAAAAAGTTCAAGAAAGCTAATTTCAAAGCCTAAAGTACCAAGTTTCGAAATAAGTATATGATGAGGAACTTGATCAAAAGCCTTGCGAAAATCGAAGTACACAGAAAGACATTCGTTTTTTGCCTCGACGTCGTTATAAATCTGATCTAGGTATTCAAGAAGCTGAGTAACAGTCGATCGCTTGGTCATAAAACCATGTTGAGCAGGTGTAACTTTAGCCCGAATTTTAGGATAAATGAAATCGAAGATCATTCTCCTGAATAATCAATAATTGAGGCAATATGCTTATCGGGCGATAATTTTCAACCTTTTCGGGATTACTAGATTTAAGAATTGGCGTAATAAACGCACAGTTCCAAAGTTCTGGCCACGTTTTAGTTTCCAGAACCTTGACAAAGAGCTGCACGACTAGAGGAGATATTAATTCACTGCAGCAGTTAAGAATAAAGGTTGGGAGGCGGTCGTTGGTAATACAAGAAGTTTTAGCAAATTCGAGAGCTTTCTCGACCTTTTTAAGGTTGACATGGAGATCGGATAGAAAAATAGTGGGTTTTTCGGGTTGTAGGATTTGAATTTCGTGCTTTTCTAGAAACACAGAACAGAAGTAATCGTTCAAAAGAATGGCTATTTCAATAGAAGTGGATGCTTTTCTATTCATCCAGTGCATTTGGTTTGGTAGTTTCCTTTTGGTAAAAGATCGAAGGTATTTAAAGGAATCACGGGTAGAATTTGGTCTTAAAGATTCAAGGAGACAAGTTTTATCAAACTCGACTGAATTGTTAAGGTCTTGTTGGATCGAAGCTAAATGATTTGTGTTGGCTGTCCGTTTAGATATGGAATGGTGCATATTCAGTAAATGAACTGTATGCGACGAATAATAATAGGGAAGTTGCTGGCGTCTTTCAGTTTTATGTGCGCATGATAAAAGAATTGCATGATTGATCTGAGCGTACCAGCTATCTACATAATCATTAGTGGTGGATAAGGAATAACATGAGTTTTGTTCCAAAATGAGTTTGGTAAAGCAAGGGCTGATGTTACTATTGAAGATCGAATGAGAGAAAGATGATTTAGATAGAGAGGATTTCATTAAATTTCCAATCACAGTAGGCGCTGCTTCAGGAATGGTAAAAAAAGCAAATAAAGGAAAATGGTCTGAGTAAAGCACTTCATTTACAAATGCAGTGAACAATTCTGTGTGCGAAGTTAAAATGATATCAAGAGTGTTGCCTGAGCGATGTGTGGGTTCATATACAAGGGGCATTAAACTATAATCCTCAATAACCTCTAGGAACAGCTTTGAGTAATCACAGCCTCCATCAGAAGATGCCCAACAGATATCAGGCAGATTTAGGTCACCTAAGATTGTGTACGAAATAGAACCATTAATCAATTTGGAGTTAAAATAACGTATTGAATCAGTAAGCATTTTGGCAGGTATCCGAAACTGCGACGAAGCGGGGGGGGGGGGTTGTAAATAAGGAGGAAAATATGATTAACTGCACCCGAATATATTGAAAGTCCGATGCAGTAATCTGCATCGTATGATAGAATTGAATAATTTAAAGCAAAACTATTTTTTGTAGCAATGAGAACACCTCCGTGTTCTCCAGAAGTGCGGTCTTTTCGAGCATTAACCGAATAGGGAGAATTCATAGGAAAAATTTCGGTATCAGTAATTTCTGGTTTAAGCCATCTTTCAGTAATGAACACGATATCAGGAGAATGTAAAGAAAGAAAATTGATTAACTTCAGACGCTGATTTAGGCTCAAGAGACTTTGTGCGTTGATAAGGCATAATTTTGATTGTAGTCAGTCAAGATTGATCTTGTTACCGTTTCGTTCGAGGGTCAGACCACAAATTTTTAGCTCATCGCGTGGAACTTTTTCATTGTTAATCATGTCGTACCGTTTCTTGAAGATTTTACTTTTCAAAATCTGTTCTTCTTGGTTTAGGGACTTCGATATGAAAATCTTTTCTTTGAAATTCTTCAGTTTGTAAGGTTTTGCTAGGCATTTTCTAGCATTCCATTCGGATGACAGACGAACAAGTAAGGGACGCGGTCTTCGTTGTTGGGGATGAGCTTTACCAAGTCTATACATTTGGCAGATACTGAGATTTTCTTCGCCTATATGATCAAAAATTTCGGCCACTTTGGCTTCTTCGGCCTCTATATTGGATGTAAACTGACCGTTGTCTTCGCAGACTCCGTCGATGATTATCTCGTTTTCACATGTGTTGGCCCGGTGACTGTTATTAATACGACTATTAACCGGTACATTCGATGATGTTGTCGTGGTTGGATCAACATTTTCAACAGTTTCTTGAATGCTTTTTTGTAATTTCGATTAAGCCTTCTTGTCTTTGAATAATCAGTTCAAACTTAGCTTGGGATGTGAAGACGTTCCCCTCAAGGCAGCCAGAGCACAGCCAGAAGCATCCTCGAATTTTGTCCATTGTAGCTACATCATCAGGAGACAATCCAACACATTGCCCATGGAACCACGCGTTGCACTTTTCACATCCTATAGCAGTTGAGTCGTTGTCCTTCACTGGTTTGTTGCATGGTCCACATCTAGTAGCTTTTGCTTGAGACATATCAAACCGGAAACTATTTAATAAGTTTATCACAACAATCGTTGCGGAATACAAAATTAAACAAGATTGTTCGTATCAGGGCAACGCCCTGAGTGTTTCGAATGATTTTTAAGGTATATGGAGCAAAATTAACTTAAAAATTAAATTTAAAAAAATAAAATGAATTTTTGTTCCAACTTTCGAAGAAAACGGAATATTTATGCTGTGTGGTTTTCTTTATTCAGTCAATCTTCGCCGATCGAAAAAATAGTTATCAACAAAAATTTTCTATACCCCAAAGAAAATAATGACTTCTTATGTTCATATTGTAAAAGATATTTTAACTCCGATTATTTTTTGCAATGTTCTGGGGTTTGAAAGTTGCCAAATTGGCCCTGTTCTGGACTAAATCATTCGCGCTTTAAACAATTTGTTCATACTGCTGAGAACGTAACGCAAATTATTCATGCGTGGCTAATTATCCCGCACAACAAACTCGTTGCAAATTGAATTGAGGCTGGCTATTCGGATCGGCGGTATCTATTTTGTACGACTCAACAGTTCACACTTTGATAATGTCCAAAACTTATAGGTTTTCAAAATTTTCTTTTCCAAAAAACTATTCAAAATGAAATAAGGGACAGTCAGAACTTTCACGACTTTTCCCTGATACACGAGCAGTCTTGTTCTTCTTTAGATTTCAATCAATTATGATAACTGAACACAAACTGCAAAATGAAAATTAAATGGAATAAAAACATAATGACTGAGAAAAATTGAATAAAGCTGTTTAAAAGGCAAACAAGTTTATTTAAAGATTTTATCTTGTCAGTTCAGAGCAAAAAACGCAAAATAAATTTGATCCGAAGTACTTTCGTTAAAAATTAGGCAAAATCATTTGCTTCATTTCATACACCTTTTATTAGGAAGGCCTTTCTTTAGCAAATTTTTTTTATAACAAAAAGTTTTTTTGAAAATTGCTCTACTAATGTCGACCAATACAATTTTTGAGTAGAATATCAGCTGGGGAACGATGTTGTCATAGTCAAAACTAGTAGATCTGTAAGTTAACCATAGCTAGTGATTATTTTTCTTAAACAGTTTAATGATGCTGAGCAGAGCTCTAAAAGCAAAATAAATTCTTCTTTTAAAAAAATTCTTCTGTGTATAAAATATTTACCCCTTTGCTAGTTAGACGCCACTACTTTTTTATTCACTCAGCAAAATAAGCAGTCGGAGGTTTGACATTATATATTTAATCACTTTATTCAACTTTATCAACTTTATTCAGGGCTTTTTTCTGATATACGAACTGTCTTGTTTTTCTTTTAATTTGAGATTTGTTGTGAAAATCATCCCTCACACGCCATATAAAGTACAAAGTGATAGATTTCACTCCTCGTAACAAATCAATTATTACAAATAAGCTTCCTTCGACCAATTTGGAACAATTTTGAAGATGGTTTAAATCCCCGCTTACCCGTTAACAGCGCAAAATATCTCAAATTGGCCCGAATGGGAACATTTAAACCCTTATATTTCATTATCCCTTATAACCCTTAGAAAAAAGATTACAGATGAAATATTGTTTCCAATTTTATCTGAGGACAACAGTATCTTTTGAATGATAATTTTTTTTTCAAAAAATGACTAAATGAAAAGTCAAATTTGTCTGAAAAAAAAAACGCCCCGAGCACAAATATTCCGTTACTTTCGTTACGAAAGTGGGAACAAATATGTGCCAAGAAAATTGACGTTACTAGAAATTTGTTTGTGGGTTCCACAACATATTGAATTGTCGAGCTTTAGCTCTATTTTCATCACGTTTAAAAGCCATAACGGGAATCTACAGACAAAAAAGCGCAAGTCTGTGCGGGAAGAAAGAAAAAACAGTTAGACTTTGTATTTTCTATTGTTCCGACTTTCGCAACGAAAATAACGGATAATTTGGGACAATTAGCGCGCGATACATTTTGCGCTAATAACGCGTAAGTGGAGATTTAATCCGTCTTCGAAATGGTTCCAAGTTGGTTGAAGGAAGCTTATTTGCCATATTTGAGTTGTTATCAGAAGCGAAGTTTGTATTTTGTACTCTATATGGCGTATGGGAGGAATGAATTTCACAAAACATCTCAAAATTTAAATTTTTTCAATTGTATTTTTATTATTTTTACTTTTTTCCATTTTTTATTTTGCTCCATACACCTTAAAAGGCAGTCGGAACATTCAGCATTCAGGGTTTCGCCCTGATACGCGCAGTCATGTTCAAGTTAGGAGGGAACAAGCGCGTAAACTAATTTTGAAAAATTGCTGTGGAACCAACTTTTTGCTTCTTGCAACTTTTGCAACCATACTTTATTAACGCAGCTTTTTTCTTGCAAAATAGCCATGGGCATTCGAAGAAAGAGAGAAAAACATTTGCTCGTGGTGGTTATTTTTATTGAGACCAGATTCCAAAAAATTCTAATCAATTCAAAAGCCTTGCTTGAGACTGCTATCTGGTATGCAACATGTACCAATTATTTCAATATTGATACCACGCTAAACGCATAATTTTTCAAATAATTGAGCTTGAATTTATGCCTTGGTTGCTCAATGCATATCTATACTCTGCACTAAAATATAAAAAACTTACTGCTAGCGCGCTTGAAAATTTGCACAGGTTTTTCGAATTAGTTGATTGACATGAAAAACAGTATTTTTCAAGCCTCTGCATGCTTATTTTGCTGAGTCAATAAAAAAGCAGTGGCGTCTAACTAGCAAAGGGGTAAATATTTTATACACAGAAGAATTTTTTTAAAAGAAGAATTTATTTTGCTTTTAGAGCTCTGCTCAGCATCATTAAACTGTTTAAGAAAAATAATCACTAGCTATGGTTAACTTACAGCTGATATTCTACTCAAAAATTGTATTGGTCGACATTAGTAGAGCAATTTTCAAAAAAACTTTTTGTTATAAAAAAAATTTGCTAAAGAAAGGCCTTCCTAATAAAAGGTGTATGAAATGAAGCAAATGATTTTGCCTAATTTTTAACGAAAGTACTTCGGATCAAATTTATTTTGCGTTTTTTGCTCTGAACTGACAAGATAAAATCTTTAAATAAACTTGTTTGCCTTTTAAACAGCTTTATTCAATTTTTCTCAGTCATTATGTTTTTATTCCATTTAATTCTCTTTTTGCGGTTTGTGTTCAGTTTTCATTATTGATTGAAATCTAAAGAAGAACAAGACTGCTTGTGTATCAGGGGAAAGCCCTGAAAGTTCCGGCTGTCCCTTAATTCATAACGAATAGTTTTTTGGAAAAGAAAATATTGAACACCTATAAATTTTGGACATTATCAAAGTGTGAGCTGTTGAGTCGTACAAAATTGATACCACCGATCCGAATAGCCAGCCCCCATTCAATTTGGAACGAGTTTTTTGTGCGGGATAATTCGCCACGCATGAATATTTCGCGTTACGCTCTCAGCAATATGAATACAGTGTTCAAAGCGAGAATAAATTAGTCCAGAACAGGGCCAATTTGGCAACTTTCAAGCCCCAGAACTATGCAAAAAATAATCAGAATTTAAATATTTTTTTAAATTTGAAGTCAAGAAGTTGATATTTTCAATGGGGTATAAAAAATTTTTGTTGAAAATTTTTATTTCGATCAGCGAAAATTGACTGATTAAAAAAACACACCGAGCATTAATATTCAGTTTTCTTCGACAGTCGGAACAATTACCGGATGCTGTACAAGCAGCACAAAAAGCTACGATCACAGTACGAGTGAGACGAAAACTTCTTCCTTCTTTTTGAGTTCTTTTTTGTGCGCAATGAGGATCGAGAAACTTCTTTTTGGCAGATAAACTGAGACGCAAATGTAAGCTGGCAAAAAATAATTGAAATAACATAATTGTACTAATAATATTTGAGGTCACCTCGGGCAGTAGTAACTGCTCGAATACAACAAGGCACAGATTTATAAGTCCTTTCAAAATTGTTCAGAGGACTGCTCTTTATTCTCTTCTCCTTTCGGACTCCGACATTGAGGAGGTTAGCTGAAGTAGCGACCGATAAAGATGGGTCCAGACAGAGACATTTCTTTCCTGACAGAGCCGGTTTTTTGAATTGTTTTTAATTTCTGAGGTATTGCTAGCGCCGGTATAAAACTTTTTAGCCTGTTCAGTCTTATGTTAGAAGACGTCAAACCTGCAATTCAACTGAGAAAAACCAGTTAATCTTGTTAACCTTTGATATCACTGTGGAATCGAGGTTGAGAAACGCCAATTAACTTTGCATTTTTGCCAGGCAAAATCATTTTTGCGCTTCGGTATAGTGAACGGCTTAGTATTAGTTAATTGACAACAGTTATTTCGGAAAATTGATTTATAGGCAAGAAGCCACGAGTCAAAATTGTTTCAGTTCAAGAAAAACGCACAACGCAGCTTCAACGCTCCTTGCAGTTTCCAAAATTGGTTTTCAGAAGTAAAAAAAGATAGATTTTCTTTCCCAATCTAATTAAAAATTTCACTCGGCTGATATGCTAATTTTTTAAGCGGCACAGATGATAATTTAAAAAAGTTTGAAAAATCGATCGAATCCTAACCAAACAAGACTGCCTATTAAGGTGTTAAAAAATTAGGATAAAGCCGTCGATTTGTTAAATTGGTTAAACTTAAACTAAGACTAGTTTAAGACAGGTTGGTTTTAAGATCCCTACAAGTTTGTTGTAGGCTTTTATCTAAGACTAAATTAAAAGACTAGGAGTATCTAGGCTAAACTAAGAGTTAAGTAAAAAGGTTGAATTAAGAATTAGTTGCACAGAATTGGTTACGTATCAATAAAGATTAATGATCGGACATTAGTTCTGCCAAAAACCTATACTTTCGGCACGCAAAAAAAAATGTTCTGGCTCAGGGGTGGGGTAGTGGGTGGCCTGGTCGGAAAAGCCCCACGTTAGCGCCCGATGGGTAGGACGCTAGCACCTGAACGGTAAGATGATGAGTTTACCCCACGATAGCACCCGATGGGTCAAATAATAATTTATTTACGTAAATAATTGTACTGCGCTAT